GAAGAGGCTGTGGAGGAAAAGCGAGAGCTTGCTTTCCCAGGAGTATTACCACTGCTCCACCGCTGCTCCTTCTGTTCCTGCTGCAATGCGCTTCCAATTGAGAGATTTTCAGTTGCTAACTAGTTGGACATATACATTGCAGATTTTATGCTTTTTTTTTTTATTGATTATTAAAAAATACCCTCGAAAAAAGGACGGAGTCATGAGTTGTGACTGCAGATAAATATGTTCTTTAATCATTTTTGTAATCTGCTCTCTAATCTCATGCCTATAAATATATATATTTATTGTCAGGATAACATTATAGAGGAGACTTCAACACCCACGAAACCACCCAGCGTATTTCCGCTGACTTTGAATCTGCGCACACGAAGAAGTGCTAGAAATAGTTGAGCAACAGCCGCAGATGGTTTGGTTTCCGGGAGAACTTCCAGGACTGTTTCCGCATTGCCAGAGATCTCACCACCCAGCCAAACAGGCTCTGGTTTCCCCTCTTCTTTAATAGTTCTTTCGTTCCTTGCTTTCCACATAGGAAAAAACGCTGCCAGCGTCAAGTATTTCATGGAAAAATAAAAAAAAAAAACAAACAAACACCTGAGAAAGATGTGAGCAAGGAGGCACAGCTGTTGTGGGCCCGATAGTTGTATATTTCTAACGGTATGCATCTTTATTTGCAGCGTATAAACAGTACTCAACAGGAAAAAAAAACGAGAAGGAACGTGTGAGTCGCTTCTGGGGACGCGACTCTACTTATACCAGTACTCAGCCTGTATATACATTTTTAAGCATATGATTTTTTAGAATTTTAGAACTAAAAATTTTACATTTTACATTTGTTTGCTACATCTGTTAGCTACATCTACATCTTCAATGTATATTCCACATCTAACATGTAGATTATACATGTACCATTTATATTCTACATCTCCTCCGGTAGGGGTTGCTCGCGCACTGAACGCGGCAGAGTGTGCGAGCGAGAAAGAGAATCAGTAGCGTCAGCAGCGCTGGAGAAGGAGAGGAAACCAACAGAAAATTCATTTCTTCATTCTGGCTATAATTATGATCCGATCTGATTCAGATTCGGCAATCTGATATATAGTTATTCTCTAGGATACTACGTTTTAGTAGTATCGTATCTTTAAAAATGTGCCTGCCAGCGGATTTTCGCTATTTTATGGGGGCGGAAGTGGGAGGGGCGAAATTTTGAGAATACACTTGTAGCAGATGGATTACAGAGTCCGGGAGAACAAAATTTGGTTTCTCTAGCTCTTATAGTCTCTGAGATCCAAGCAGGCTCATGCAAGACGGACGGACGTTCTGGACGGTCGGACGGACAGACAGAAATGGCTGCTATCGACTCGAATATTCATGAAATAAAGAATATATATACTGTAAGGGGTCGGAAACGTTTCCTTCTCTGCCGTTACACACATCCACTTTTACCACAAATCTAATATACCCCTTAACTCTTTTTTGAGTACGGGTATAAAAAAAACAGTCAAAAAAACTTTTTTTTTTTTTTTTACCATCCAAAAGAAAAGCAAAACACAAATACGCATATCAAATTTCTCGCCAGCTCAAAACAGACACGACGAAGACCAAACGAATAAAAGTGAGAGAGAAAGTGTACAAAAGCAGAGCAAGCAACAAAACAAGAAACAAAGAATAGATGCAGTGGCCGAAACTATAGATACCCTTCATATTTTATTATTATTTGGGGTCATATAGCAGGAGCCAGAAACCCATTGACTCGGCTAAAGAATTCACTGTGGAGATCTCTACTTCTCCTCGTGGCAAAAATCATGTTAGACTTGCAATATCCTCTGTGAGGGTATCAAAAGAAACCAACGGTATTCAAATATGAGTGTGTGTGAGAGTGAGTGTGTCTCGCACTCAAAGAGACTTTTGACTTTGCGTGCAACTGAGCAGATGAGCGTGATTTCTGCATTTGAGCTTTTGCCAGGGCATAAATGGAAGTCCAGGGACGAGGAGATGGTGTGCCCAGGGCTTGCGATTGTCCAGTTTGGATTCACTTCACTCTCGCTCTCCCTCGCAGTCTCTGCCTCTGTCGCCCTCCCAGAGACTGTACAAAAAGCCTGCTGAAATTTCAAGCACTTTTGACACTTTTACCCACACACATACTGAGGGGAGAGAGAAGGATAGCTGGTGGGCGGCACGGCACACACCTTCCCACAGAGGCAGACAGAAGGATAGCTAGAGGGGGATGGCAGAGTTGAGGGTACGAGTGGACGACCTCTCTGATCCCAGGGCCAGAGCGTTTGGCATAGTCTTACACAAAGATTTACGTACAAAATGTTGACATAAAGTGCGCAAAAGTGGAATTGCATTTCGTATGTAACTTGAGTATGCTCTTTTGTTAACACGATGATGACAACGACAACGACGACTGCGACGACGATGATGATGTTGGCCCACGCCCAGGCATTTCAACTTGTCAGAGGCTACGCCTGCCTCCCTTAACCCAAAAAAATCGCCCAAAAACCCCAACAACCACCACCCCACACTCTTACACTCTTTGGGCATTTTTAACAAGGCATAACTCTGCACACTCTCCCACAGCAGTCCACACAAGTGGGTCGTCTGATACTCAAAATACTGTTGATTGTTGCATTGGTCCTCGTAAATATCAAAGAACATTTTTGCACACGCTTAAAGTGCAAAATAATATATTAAATAATATGAAATGAAATAAAATATATAAAAATATAAATTCCAATTGTACGAATGCCAGGAGCATAACCCTTTCAGGGCAATGAATAAAATTTTTAACTTGAGCTGAGAAATGCACAGATCTATTTTCTATCAAATATTTGAAAGTGATTTCTGGAAATGATTTCTTGCAATTTGCGTCAGATATTTGTGGAACTTTTTTTTGCATTTGGGAGGATTTATTTTAAGTATTTATGGTATTTTTTTTATTTTTTACTCTATTTAAAATCAACAACCAATCAGAAAAAACTTGCTTCCCAACAAACAAATGCAGTGAAATCATTTCCGAAATTAAATTTAATTTAAGAATTCAAAAAAGCGAATCCACTCATGAAGGGAACTTAATCCATATTGGTCCGTATAAGGCTTCATCTCAAACGTTTTGGAATAAAAATCAGTTATATTAAAAAGCTGGGTGGGCTTTGCCCCACTCATTGGACACGACTGGCAGGATTTCGTTCTGTTAATATATTTAACACCTTGCCGTCGATAAGTGTGAGGTGCCCATCGAATTTTACAATCATTTTGTTTGACTTATTAGTATGCATGTATATATTCAGGTTTTTAATCAGATTGTCCAAGGTTCCCTTCTAATATAAGAGACGTTGATTCTTTAACATACGCAATTTTAAGAGGAAAGCAAAATCGTATGGACTGAGGCGATTTATTCAACCAGATGACTCTTTGTTTTTGATCTATCATGCGGTCCATGCTATTCCAGCAGGTCTACATTCTAGTTTCTCCTCAGGTATTTTTGAATAAGGGGGGTAAATATCGCAGCCATATTGCTTACTTAGATGTTTTACACTTATGTATTGCTGCTAAGTCAAACCATTTTCCATAAAAAAAGCAAATGTCTTCTCAGAAGCTATTGGACTTGGAGCAACTGATTCAGTCGTAGAAGTATTTTTTATAATTTCATTTTCATTTGATTTGCTGAAATGCTAGCAGCGTGTAGTAACAAAGGAGTTAAATTTGGTTTTTCTACCGTAAATTCAGCTGCTAACTTAATTTTTAGTCGTTTACCAGCAGCTTCATATGTCAATTTCGGACGACCCCCTTTTTGTGGGGATTCATTTCTAGCATAAAGCTCTATTTTCATATTACCGGCTAGCCATATCGCGTGTTTTTGTTTAAATCGCTTTATGTTTCGGCTGCATCTTGGAAAATGTTTATTGATGTAATAAATGAAATTGGCAATTTTATTTGATATGATCTGGTTCATTGTTTTATCAAAGCGATCGGCATTCAATTTTCCAAAAATGTAACTCTTAAGAGTTTCTTCGAGAAGAGCCACGTGGCCAAACTCATATGTTGCTAGATAAACAACATTTTTGCGAAAAGGAGCAAAAAGGAACAAAAATGGTTAAGTGTATGATAACAATGACACTTTTGTCTTTAACTTTGCATTCTTAATCTTTTGCTAGTCTGTGCTAATTGATAAGTTATACTCTACAAAACACAAACACAATTGTTAGTTCAAATCTATAGAGATACACATATAAAACAGTTCACAGTTGGACAACAAGACACATTGATGAGAACATATAAATTAATTTACATTACTAAATACCTTCACAAGGAATTTCAATTTTTAGAATTATGAAATTTATTTTGTGCACAACAAAACAATTGCTTAAAGTTTGCAAATTTTCGCGCCAATTTACCCACACTAAAAAAACCTCTCAAACAGTTGAGATTGTTGCTGTGGCAACCCTATAGGGTTGCCACCAAAAATTTTTGGAAGGCGGTTTTTTTCAAATGAAGATATCTAGACTCGATTAATATGGGTCATTCCTAAAAATTAACTAAAAATATAAATAGGTTTAAATAGGCACCAAAATCGGGTTTTTTACCAATAGTGCAGCGTAAGTTTTGCGAGCCCCACCACCTCGCACAACAGAGGCTGCATTGTTTTTTCTTTGATTGCCTTTGGCTTTTGCGTTCTTTTTCTCTTTGTACATCGTCCCACAAGCATACACTCGTATGTGTGTATGTACTTTTGTATGGATAGTAGATGTTAAGCCTCCTTGATATTTTTCTTTCGATATTCTGCACAATTTAAATGGCTAAAGATATGGGCAACACATACTTATGAATACTCACACCGTTTCAAGTTCTCACAATACTTACAACTATTATTTCAGTTGACTCAGTTCTATCTCTCTCTCTCTCTCTCTTTTCCGTGCAGTTGATAAGCGATAGATTTGATAAGACTTGGTCACACTGCCTTTGTTTGTCCAAAAAATACTAAGTACTCGATAAGTATCGAGTGAACAAGAATTGTAAGCACGTGTGCTATTCGGGAATATAATTTTCATGTTCCATCTGCTGTGTCTGACAAAAGATCGCTTAATACCTACCAAAACCAATATTATTTATTCAAATTTCTGGAAAGCATTCGAGGAAGAAGGTGAGCATATCTGTGCAGAAAAAATAACAAAGAAACTCATGTGTGTGCATTTTATTTTGCTGTGATTAGACAACGCAAAGGCAACATGGATAACATGGACGAATGCCATAATGAAAACGACCCGAGCAAGATCCCAAAGGAACCCTCTGTGGACATCAGTGATAAATGCTCGATTTGCAAGGGTCCAAAGGCAGATCCAGTGTCCGCAAAATGCGGCCATTCGTTCTGCTGTGCCTGCATCAACGAGTACTTATTATCCACTCGTTCAAATGGCAAGCGCCGCTGTCCAGTGTGTGGCATTGAAATGGAAGCTCATGTTCCCGGATACGAAAAACAGCCTAAATCAGATGATCATGGCAACGGCAATAATGTCAACTGTTCCATTTGCCGCAATCCGCATAAGGAAGTGGTCGCCACACACTGCGACCAATTGTTCTGTTTTGTGTGCTTTACAGAATTGTTTGTTGTTAAAAAGGCAACGTAACGGAGGCTAAAAGATAAACCAGATGCAAATTAGGTACTTACCTAATAAATACATTTCATATAAATTTACCCATACTCTTTTTCTTATAGTTGGGCATCATAATAGTATAATATTTGATTAGATGTTTTAATTGTTCCACAATTTAAACCACCTGCCACATCACCAAAAGGTTAGCAGGCACTTCAGCCATAATTTTAGTTTCTTTGCTTCTTCTGCTTCTTGCGACTCACTTCAACCACTCTCAGAATGTGCAACAACAATGCTCTGGGATAGTCTACAGTCTAGAGTCTAGACTATCCTTCAAACTTAAGCTCACTCATTCCACATTCTGCTGCTTCAGCAGACTTGGTTGTGCATTAGCCCATAGACTTAGCACACGACTCCATTGGACACCTTGAATATTTTCTTCTCCTTGGATGTTGCAAAGGCGACGTAATTACACCAAGCCGGCACAGCAGTAGACCGCACCTCTAGCTGAAGGCATCCTTCCACCTACATTTTTCAGCACTTAAGTGGCCTTTAACACCTGCTGATGCAGATGCTGCTGCGTGTTGCAGGTTGCAGGTTGCGGGCAACCCTCTTGTTGCTGTCGTGTTTGTTGCAGCCATTAGGGTAAATTCTGAAGCAAAATATAAACGCTACGTGACCAAAAATAAAATTGACAAATGTGGTTTCAGGTTTTTCCTCTGGATTTCCCTCAGGGCCAAATGGTAAATTAAGTTTGCTGAAATAAGCTGTTATGCTGATTTTGGCACAGAATATTGTAACAAATTATATATTCTACATATAACGCGATTTCCGTTCAGCACTACCCCCAGGGCCACTCAATTAGTTGAAATGCAAATCGAAGGAACGCAGATTGGGATGAGAGTACAAGAGATTTCGCCGTAATGATTGGATTATCATTTTCATTATCGTTTGGAAGATGTGATGTTGGGGGCGAGACTGAGTGGAATTTTTGATTTTGATGGTTGCAGGCAAGTACATTCTATTATCGTATTACATACCCCCCACACCCACTCAGTCGATAGGGGCTTCCTCGTTGAGAGAACAACCAAAAATTTGGCCCAGATGATTGCAATGCAGAAAGAAAAGTAAATAAATAGTACATATATTTTTAAAGAGCATCAAAAACGGAACCTGTATTTATGTTTATTTTCCAACTAGCTTTTCAATACAAATCTATCTGGGTGCAATTGTACACGGTAAATTTAACAAGTCAAAATAGAGTTCCCCCAAAGGGTATCAGGATCTTCGGCTCCCAAAATTTTCCCTTTTCTCCCTCCTGTTTTAAAGCTTACATAACAGTTAATTTGATTGCTGCATACGCTCAGACGCTCAAATGGCCATGAAAACATATTGAGCAGCAGTCGCAATGGAAGAGACACAGGCAGCAGCAGTGGCAGTGGCAGAGCAGCAGCAGCAGCCCATAAAAGGCTGTTTTATTAACTTCAATACAAATACAAGTTGAGCGTGAATGGGTGAGAGTGGGAATGGGAATGGGACCTCAGGCAATACAAAAAACGATAGCTATAGCTGTGGATTCGGAAACAGAGAGTAGCCTACAAGGACAAAAGCAAACAGAAGTAAAGGTTGAAAGGAAATAGCGACAGGCGACCAAAGTGTCAGCGGTGATTCAAGCATTAGAAAGAGCAAAATATTTTTTCTATTTTTGTGTAATTAAATTCAAATTATAGTCATTGATCTGGCCAAGAAATACTGGCATCTGGCACTGTATTAATATTCAATTATACAATTATTTTATTTTATGACATTTTGATCCAGTATAGTGTTTTTCCGAGTTATACCTTCTGGATGGAAAAATCAGATTCAATATTGACGTGGCACTGTGGGCAGCGGCGTATCTTGGTGTGTTTGTTGAAGAACAAGTACTCCTTGAGGCAGCCCACGCAAAAGGAGTGGCCGCAATGTATGACCACCTGTTCCTTCTTACGACGCACGCAAATGAAACAGTAGCCATTGGTGTCATCCCCCATTGAATAACATGACCCACGGTAGCCACGATCATCTGACTTCAGTTTTTCTCCGTAACCGGGAACATGAGCTTCCATGTCAATGCCACACACTGGACAGCGGCGCTTGTCATTGGAACGAGTGGAGAACAAGTACTCGTTGATGCACACCCAGCAGAACGAATGGCCGCAGTGTGCGGACACTGGATCTGCCTTTGGACCCTTGCAAATCGAGCATTTATCACCGATGTCCACAATGGATTCCAGTGAGATCTTCTTCTTTTTGTTCTCGACCATTGTAATTAGATTGCTTGGACCCTTGTCTAGAAAATCAAGATAATGAAACATCTCACTAACGACTCGTAAATATTTTACACCTATTTTATACCTTTTTTTTTAATTTTCCAAATTTGTTCCCGTAGCAACTGCTGGTTCTACAACCCAACAAAAAAAGGCGAAACTAGACTCTACTTTTATTTTTTTTTTTTTTGTGCACAAATATTGTTACTTTTTAAATGTTTGACGGAACTCTGATTAAAACAAATTGTGGTTATTTTTGGTTTGGCCCTAGAATACAATCTCAGCCTACTTATAATCGAAAAAGGCTAGAACAGGTGCATTGCCATTCTATCGAATTTTTGTAATTTTCTGGACTAATTTTATGTGTTTAAAAAACTCCCAGTTGTCTCCAATGGAAATTTAGGCGGTGTTCTTTTATTTAAGAAGCTTATTTCCACTTTTGTCAACTGTACAATTATCCATCGAATTTACTCCAATGAAATACACACTCCAAGACATAGCGACAGATACAGAGATAGATATAGGTAGCACATACAATTCAATTTCCTCAAAATGTTGTATTTATTATTTCCTCATTGCATTTGGCAATGTCGTTGCCGCCGCCGCCGCTGTCGCTGTCGCTGTCGACGCTGGCGCTGACGATGTTACTGGAGTGAATCCGTAAATCGGAACCGTTAAACATTCCGAGAAGGATAGGTAGGTGGGTGGGTGGGTGAGTGGTGTTAGGGGAGCCCAAGCACAGACAAAGACAGAAGCACACACACATGAAATTTGACAATATTGTTGGCATACAAAAGGCAACATCCGCGCAGGTTGAGTGGTGGTGGGGGGGTAAGTCCGGAGGGTGGGAGGGAGAGTCAGACACAGACAGCCGGAACTACGCACAGTGGGCTGAAAAATATAGAAAACATTATTCCAAAACATTCTAAAAGCAGAAGAATTCTGCGGAATTTGTAATGTCCCAATGGGCTGATTCTTTCAAGGTAGCAGAACGATACAAAAACAATCGTTGACACAGCGCATTTCGAACAATATAATTTCACGATTTCACGACACAAAGCAAATCAGCAATCAGCTATGCCGAACGGGAAGGGAGCTCAAACAATTAGGAAACTACTTTCGAGGTTAATCATCGTCCAAGCAATGAATTGGTTTGGTACTCTTGGCATTATCTATTTTTGGAGGTGCAAAAGCAAAATGCTGCGATTCGAATATGGGGAAAATGCTCTGACGGATGGAATGACCATTTCATTTGTAATTGGCATTGTGGCTTGTGCATTTGAGTGCTACTGCGAAGGCGGGTGTAGAGGTGGTTTATAAATAAAATAATATAAAAATATAATAATAAAATGCATTCCATTTAATATCACCTTGAGATGGTTTTAAAGGCCACAAATCAGCGTTCTGCTAAACGCTTTTCGGACCATATAATTTTAGATTTCAGGCACAGAGCATATCAGCAGAATGCCCAACAAGATAAACTACATACGGAGTGAGGACCCCGAACAGTTAAGAAGCCACATTTGAGGGTTAATCATCGCTCAAGTAGTCAACCCACCAGTTATCGGATACTTCCAACCATGAATTTGGCATACGTAATTTTTGTACTAGCTTTTCAAGCAGTAGCAGACAGCGTCTGCTGCCGTGCGAAAAATGGAAGATGCGGCGACGGATGGAAGGTCCGTGGGGCTGGTAATTGGTATTGCGGTAAGGGCCCATGCAACGTAGCGGGCTGCAACTGCGAAGGCGGGTGCAGAGGCCCTCCAGAGCCCTTTCTGCCAGGAAAAAAATAATAAAATATTTTTATTTATTGCCGGAAAATATTAATAAAATATTTGAAAACGAGAGATATGTATTGAGTTTATTGTCAAACCGAATATTCGAGACAATGAAAATTCATATTAAAGCCACTGTGCAACGACAGAATGATGACAGGGCAGCAGCAGGTAACGTGGCAGAGTTGAGGTGCGATGCACTGGAAGGGGCAGTGCTTTCATGCTTTAAACAATGCGATAAAACGGTATTAGTCACGTTAAATTGAATTTATTTAAGCGCGCTGTTAGGCCACATCCCGAAGCAAGGCACTCTCTTAAGCTCTCCTCTCTGCCATGTTATGGCATTAATGGTATTCCTGGAAGAGATTTGAATTTGATTATGGCCCAAAAAAACAATTTGCAGAAACGCCTACCACCCTGGAGAAATTGTTATTTATAAAATAAAATATCTTGAAAAGAAATCAAGGTAAGACTATCGGGTTCCAGGACCTGAATTCGATTCAGTTTAACAATTATAATTATCTAAATAGTAATTTCAAGCTAAACCAAATCTCTTTCATGAATACCATTATTGCGTATGCTGGAGAGTGTGTTTGTCTGTGTGAGAGTTAAGCCTCATTGTCAGCATATCCTTTGAGTGTTTTATGCTACAGTCACAGCCGTGGCAGAGCTTTCTGGCTTCAATTGCTACCTGTGCAGCTAAGCCCCCGCTTTCTCGCACTTTCGCTGTCTCCCCATTCTCTCCGCGTTCTCTCTCTTAAATAGGAAAATTATGCAAATCATGCGGTCCTTATTAGATTTATTTGTGGCATCCTGGAATATGTGTGTAGCATTATTTCTGGTTATTTTGTATACACTTTCAGTGGGTATTATGAGTCTTTGGTTTAGAAATTTTGGATTCAATAAATTACATAATAATCTGTAAATACAGCGAAATATATCCATGTCCGTTACTCTGCTGGTTTTTTTCGAGATTCTTTCTACTCAGAGACATTTATTAAATTTCTTCTTTAATGCT